TGAACTGCCCCCTAGTTCTTGCTGCCTTCATCATTAGTTCTGCTAAATGATGGGCGAGAAGGCCACTCAATATTGGGAGGTCACCTTAGGATCCATAGGAAGTGCTAAATCAACTTTTTGGTTTTCTTTGTCTGTTTCTTGGGTGATTGTGATAAATCTAGATAGATGTTTGGTGTGTACTTGGGTTTTGCTTTTTGTTTTGTAGATTTTAAGAGGTTTGCCCAAAGACAGTTTTGATTTGTTTACAGTAAAATACATTTCATCCCATGTTCTATGTTTCCTTTTTTTTTTTTTTTTGGCATGTGGTAAGATTGTTTTCAAAGGGCATATTATGATGAGTACATTATGGAAAAGAATGGGGTGTGATAATTATAACTCTCCATTTCAGCTTTCACCTGGGGTTGATAAAGGACAAGCTTTTATTACTGAATTGTTCCTGTAATTACATCAGAGATAAGAGGCAGCAGTCACCTTCCATTAGGGGAGTGAGAAGGCTCCTTACTATTTAAGTGATCACATAAGGTGCCGAGTGAATCATCTTCAGCCTCATCACGGAGACTTAAAAATAGGAAGAAACAGTTGACATCATCCTATAGCAGGTTTTTAAGGAACAGAAAAAATGCCAGATTGTTCTTCAGGAGCTCTCTGAAGTACCGGCCCAGCCCACATGGTAATAGGTTGTTGGCAATGGCTCTCAGACTTGAGTGTGCCTCTGACTACCTAGGGAGCTTGTCAGAGCAGGTGGTTGGGCTCCACCTGGGTTTCTAATTGAGTAGCTGTGTGCTAGGGGGAGCTGAAAATTTTGCATTCCCAGCTTCCCAGATGATGTTGCTGTTGCTGGTTCAAAGGTTGTACTTGGAGAACCATTGGGATAGGAAAGAGGTGGAACTAGGAGATGGTTCCCAAAACAGCATTTCAAGATTCTATTCCTGGGGTGTTTGGAGTGGCATTAATGATGCTGCTTGGGATGCCTGCATCCTGTGTTGGATGTCTAGGTTTGAGTCCTGGTTCTCCTCTAAATTCTAACTTTGTGATGTCAGGAAGTCAGTTTGGGTCTCCCTTGTGGGTGGCAAGGAACTAATTGCTTGAGCCATCACCACTGTCTTCCAGGGTCAGAGTTAACAGGAAGGTGGATTTGAGAACCACAAGGCATCATTGAACTTGGGTCCTTTGACGTAGGGCACAGGCATTTTAACTGCTAGACCTAAGATCTTCCTTGAAGATACTGGAACTAATGGTTATCTGAGTCCCAAGTCAGTGAATCATTCTTTGTCACATCTGTGTCTAAGAACAGCTGTTAGCAAGATGGAAGTGTAATGCATGGAGCCCCATCAGCTAATATGGCTCTAGCACTCTCACTGGTTCCAGAATCATCCTTGTCTTAATCTGTTAATTTATTACCCTGTGAAAAGAAGCTACCACCATGGGGATCCCAGCTTCTGACTTGTACCGAGAACTTGCTGACTCTGAAATCCTGAGTTGGGCTTCCCTTGCCTCGCTTGCTAGCGAGGCCCTGGGATGCCCTGTTTCAGACCCAGGATCACCACAGAGGCTGGGTAGCTTGGCTGCTGCCATTGCAGGCTGTGAGAGTTTGAGCCCAGATATTGTTAGCAGGTTAGGGCAGAATTAGATTTTAGGTTACTTCTGTGGAGAGGCACACTGCAATGCAAGAGGATTTGAAAGCTGTGGCATGTCATAACACCAAACCTGTTTAAAGTTAGCATTAGTCTCAGGAGTCTCTCTAGATTGTTCTAACAGTGCAAACAACTGTGGTCAATTTTGCTGCTGTGGTCAATGAAAGCCAATGGAATGAGTATTGTAATTATGGGTATCTTTTTTTCTGCATAAGGGACATTGAATGAATAAACAACCATGAGGATTTTTTCCTCCTCAACATGGTGTACCACCAGGTGGTCTTATTTGAAATCTTGCTAGACATGATGGTATTTTTTATTGGACCCACAGATGCCATTTTACTGAACAAGGCAGATTTGTGTTCTCAAGGAACTCATTTGTAGTAGTTTGGGAGGGAAGGAAGGTGGAAAGTATGCCCACCTGGCACCTCACCGTGGTGGTTTTTCATGTATGACATTGTCCATTTGGAGAGAGACTGGCCCCAGGGAATAAAATGAAGGAAAATATTGAATGTAAAAATAGAGAAGATGCCCATGGGACAGGTTCCAGAGCTGATGGACAAGACTGGAATGAATCGTCATGGTTCTTTGTCACCAGTTCCTAAGCAAGTGCAACCTATACAAGTGAGTCTTGTGCATGTTTTGGCCCACTTTTGGGATGCATTGTGTGTGAGATGGGGAAGGAAAGAGCACATTGCTGGCTTAAGGATGTCATTAGGTACAGGGCTTACAGAGTAGGTTCCTGCGTGTGTTGACTGCAAGGAGAGTTCCAATTTTTTCTGGGCTGCTCTGCCACTTTACCCTGTGATTGCTGCTTGACTTTCTCCCTAAGACTGAATTGCATTCCTACAATCTGAATTGCAAAGTATCTCACAGTTTAGGTGTAATTGAGAAGGGGAGGAACCTCAAAGGATGGAAGCCCAAGAGGAAATTGAGGAACTTACCAATGCCCAGAATGTCAAGCATTGAGTGAACTCCAGATACAAGGTGTGTGTTTGAAAACTGGAATGGGAAAAAGGATCTCTTTGAATATTTTCTTTGTAAATCCAGCTAGAAATGGCTTCACATTTTCATTAATGTTATGTGCTTGACTCTGCAGGAAATGATACTTAAGATAAGCTGAACATTAAAGCTTTGTCAAGGTCAGACGTAAATGGCCTTTTGGTGTCTCAGTGACCATGAATTTTGTGGATGTGCAGTGCCAGTGGTGATGCAGAGGTCTTCAAGTGCCCAAGAAGGAGCTTAGGAACTTTCTAACTCTTAAGGGGCAGTGAAGACAGAGTAGTTAGGGTGGTGGCTGCTGTTAGAGGCACATAATCCAGATTTGGAAACCCTGGGGAGAAAAGGGAAAGTGGACTCTTTTTGTTTTTTTTTTTTTTTTTGTATGCATCATGAATGTATTTTGATTGCTATAGTCTTATCACTGATGTGATTGTTCAGTCATCTACCACCCTGGGCTTGATATCGTACTTAGAAAAAAAAAGCTGTTGTAGAATGCACCCAACGAAATGTTGATGAAACTTGAGTAAAAGCATGAAAGAGACCTTGATAACCATTTAGGCCCGAAGCACAAAGGCAGTTTGTTCTTTTTGCACCACTGCTCTCAAGAGGTGTCCCTGACAATGACCAAGAATTGTTGTATGGAAATACATCTTGGTACCTGGATTTGGGAGAGTGGGCAGCTTTTTCTGTATCATGACAATCAATTTTTCAACTTGTTGCTTCATGCAGAGCTATCTGCAGTTCTTCAGCACACCTGAGCTGAGCTATACCAGGCTGTTTCCTGGTGATGGGGCATTTGGAAGGACGTTGGTTTGAGTCTAGCCGGTCACCTTGGTGTGCGGTCCTCTGATGTTGCTCACAGCTTGTAAACGGAGTTAAATACTATGAATGTGGTTGTGTGCTAATGATCATCCTAAGAAAGACATCCCTTCATTTGTATCAAAAATACAAAAAAAAAAAAAACCTTGCAGAAAGGAATTGTATGGACCCTCCATGATGTCCTTTAGAAAGAAGCAGGCTAGTTAGTGTTGGAAGACTGATTGGGTACTCAGTTTGTAGATGGTTGGCAGAAGGCTGCATGATCTTCTGGATATTTTCCTTCTTCCTTGTGGGGCCCTTTCTGGTTTTGTGTTTCTCCTCTGATCATCTCAGGAATGTCAGAAACAGACTGCAGCTGCTAATGAGTACCTTTTTTTCCTCTTCGCTTTCTTTTTTACAAAGGTGTTTTGTAGATGGAAAATACTAGCCAATTGCAAAGCCCTTAATACATACAATTTTAGAATGGCTTTTGACTCTTTTTTCTTATTTTTCAAGTTGAAGTGGCTACAAGTAGTCTGTTGCATTTGAGTGAGCAGGCTTCTAATTGGGTTGGCTTTATTTCCTATTGTGAACTTGTTGCAGTTTTGTAACAGAACTGACTTTTTTAGGCTTGTTTGTGTGTGTGTGTGTGTGTATATATATATATATATATTTGAGACTGTGCATATTTGAGTATGACCTAGTCTGAAAAGTGTTAGGATTGGTAAATGTTTTGGTTTAATGCCTCCTGAGACTTGAACAGTGCAGTGCAGATACCCAATCTTAGCCAAGTGTGACCTTCTTGCTGGTATAATAATGGATGGGTTTGGGTCCTAGCAAGAGATGAAATTTTTTCTTAAATAATTCTAGATGTTGAGATCATAGGCCTTCTACTTAGCTACATCTAGGCATTGTAAGTGTGGGTGTGTCTTGTTTTTGTAGACTGCCTTTTTCTTCCCCCCAAAGCTTCATTTGACAGGCTGAGAGATGGACTGTCATCCTACTTATTCACTCCCAATGCCCACAGCTGCAAGAAGTTGGCGTGGGTGACTGGCAGCCTCGTTGATCTTGATCATCCACGTGGGTGCCAGGAACCCCAATAGTTGGGAATGACTGGCTGCTTTCCAGGTGTATTAGCAGAAAGTTGGATGAGAAGCTCTGGGTAGCTGGGATTCAAACCACACACTATGGTGGGGTGAGCATTCCAAGTGCTGGTTTATCCTCCTGTACCACCCCAGTGCCTGCTCCAGGTAGACCGTGTGCAGAAACAGGTTCCATGATGTGGGAATCCGGAGTTCATATAAGGTCTCTCCATCTGTTCACATTGGACCAAATCTTTTAAAAAGAAACGTAAAATTGTCCTGGTACTTGGGTTTTCAGAAGTGATTTGTGTTCTACAGTGGATACGGGAGGAGGTTCCATTAGGCCGTGTATGCGCTTTGGTAAGCGAAACACTCTGTCTAGCTAGGCACAGAGTCCAGGATATTTGTCCCTGGGAGAGAGGACCGAGGAGCTGAGTCCCTTCAAACTCTGGCCCTCAATGATGAGAGTTGACTCTCCCAGGAACTGTTTGATTAGGTGAAACAGAGAAATTGAGCAGGAGTATTTTATCTGTGTGGAGTTAGTGAAGTGACTGGAGCACATGGCTGTTCACTGTCAAATGCGAATTAATTGGGCTCCATCATTGCCAGAACAGCCTGACCCAGCACTGACATACAGGATCATAAAATCGGTGAAACCATGAAACAAGAGTGAGTGGCTTAATAAAGATTGCACAACCTCTAAACTGTGGCCACCTTGAGGAACTGTTGCTCAATGAGAATATTTTTGAAATTTGGCAGTTAGGGGCATATTTTATGGGGAAGGTTGCTAAGTACTGTTTTATTTTGGCTGTCTGAAATAGTTTGTAGCATGTGGAACCACTGGCCAGACTCCCCTAGAGAGTTACCTTGATAAATCAAACGTTGAATGTGAGCAAAACATTTGAATTTCACAGACTGTTGGGATTTGATGTCAAGGTTATGGATCAGCAGAATGAAACATTAAAGCTTTGTGAATCTTCTCATGGGTTTTGGTCTTTGCATATATGTTGTCTGTAATGAACTTACAAGAGAAAACACCTTTAGCGGTGCTGAATAAAAGCACTAATATTATAGCTAAAAAAGTCATATGACTTGTCAGCAGCAACTCCAAGCTGTCACCTTGAGAATTGAGCCCTCTGGGAGAAGTCAGAGGAACAAGATGTGCCTCCTTTGTAATTGTCAAAGGGAGTTTAATTAATACACAAGTATATTGTATCTGCCCTCCCCCACTACCCATGCGTACATCTCTCCCCACAGCTTAATGGGAATGTGATTTTATTCCAGGGACTGGACTACTGAATAATCTGCCTTCTAGGTCTACCCACCCTGTGACTAGTGCTAACTGGCAGGGAGATATGTTTATTGCCCTCCTGGAGTTGCATGGAGATGCAGCAGCTGTGGGAACAGGCTGACACTGGGAGAATGGGAACTGGCTGGTGGTCTCTGTTATACACTCAATGTGGTTCACACTTTGGGAGAGAATGAGCATTTTTCTGTGATTTTTTTTTTTTTCTCCAACAGTATCTGCACCTCCCACCTGCTTTCAAGCTCTGCACCATGTGGGTTTGACAGCCTTCACAGAGCCTGCAGGTGAGTTGGCGTCATGTGGGTCTCCCAGGCTGTGTCTTTCTACCACCAAATATGTTGGCACCCTCCCCCATCAGTGTGCCATACCTAGCTGCTTGGGAGAGGCCTCTTGGCTCCTTGGGGAATAACTATGGAAAGAGCAGCTATCTGTCAGCCTCCTCCAGGGCTGTCGGATTGGGCTGCTGTCACCCTGTTGTTGGAGGAGTTCCCGAGGCAGCAGACTTGGCTGTCATTGACATTTATCACTTGAAAGTCATATCACAGATGACTTTACATTTCTTCTTGAAATAGCCTATGACCTATCAAGCATGTGTCCTGTCTACTCTGGCAATGCCCATGAGTGGAGAAGAGTGGGTCTTCTGCAGGTGACCACAGGGCTCCTTTGTCTCACTCTGCCCTATTAGGATGTAAGCTCTGGGTTAGAAGCAATTGTCCTGTCCTTGTGCTTAATTAAAGTGTGACCAGGCAGATCCTACTAAGATCTGGAAGAACATAGCTTCCAAGGCCAGGGGACTGCTCACTTATTGATAGTCACAGAGCCTGGGAGAATGGAGGGTACACCTGAGGAGCAGGTTACAGAAAGTGTTACGTGAGTCAGTGCAGCCTGTGCCTGGTTGGTTGTGCCCTACTTTCTCAGAAAGCCAGCTTCTGAGTTGTATTTCTTGAGACATAAATGGAAGAGAAAGGGGCAACGATCCTGCTGAGAATACAAATTCTGATGTCCACGAACGTGGAAAAAAACCAGGATGGGCCAAAAAGCATGTCTATTGCCTGTGTGTCTCTAAAACTGTAAATTTCTGAAGATCTAGACTAGGCTTTTCTCTTCATGCCTCCGTGTCTAGGGTGGGTCTGTGTGCAAGCTCAGTGGATGCGTGGTTAGAGCAACTTTATTTTCAGGTGGAAAAGCTTTTTTCCCATTTTGTTATCTGGATAGCACAGATATTGAAATACATTAATCAACAAATCCAGATTATGGGATTAAAAATAATGAAGTTTTCCTGTGGGCAGAGAACAGGGAAGAGTTTGAGATAAGAAGTGGAGACAGACAGTCCTCGTTAGTTTTGGCTAAAATAACACACCTTCGTCTTTTAGACCTCTTCCTGTGGGCATGATTTCATCTTATGAAATGCTGCTCCCTGGTTTTGGTGTTGGGCGTAGCTGGCCTGAATTAGCTGCAGCCATAGGCTTCTTGAGCCAGACTGAGGGTGTCCACAGGCTTTGGTAAGATGGTAAGCTGCAAGATGTTTGCTGCTGCTGCTTCTCAGCTCTCTGCCCGCAGCCCATGAGGTTCTCTGGACTCTAGAGTTGCAAGAAAGTCACAGCTGTCCATTGTGATGGTGGCATGGGGGACTTAGCCCTGCTGGTGTCCTGGCCAAGGGCAAAGTGAGGGACTGTGGGCCAGCCACACACTTCTGCATCAGGCCAAGGACAGGGCAGCCCAGCAGGTTACCCCACCACCACTACCCCCGCCAAGGAGTTCCTGGTGCTGACCACATCTAATTGGCATTCTGGTTCCTGGTAAGAGATTTTCAAAGAGCATCTCATTTTCTTTGTTGAGAAACAGAAATGCAGGGAGGGAAGAAAGAAGGGTCAGAGCGGGTAAAGAAGGATGCCAAATGGTGGTTTACTCCTCAAATGTCTCCCAATAACAGAACTAGGTAGGGTGAAAACTAGGAGCTCTGGGGCTGGTATGATAGTTTAAAAGGCTAGTTCTCCACTTGTTAGTACTGGTATCCCATAGGTGGGCACTGATTTTTGTCCAGGCAACTTGACTTCTGATCTAATTCTCTGTATAGCCTGGGAAAGCAGCAGAGGGTAGCCCGAGTCTGTGGGCCCCCACACCACATGGGAAACTGGGAAGAAGCTCCTGGCTTAAGATCAGCTCAGTTCTGGTTGTTGCAGCCATTTGGGGAGTGAACCAGTGGATAGAAGACCTGTCTTTCCTTCTCTCTTAGTAAATCTGTCTTTCAAAGAAGAACGTATAAAAATCTTAACAACAAAAGCTGGGAGCTCAGTTTAGATGTCTCACATGGGTACAGGGTAACAACTTCCTGAGCCATCACCACTGTGTTCCGGGGTCTACATTGGCAAGAAGCTGGAGTTAGGATCTTAAACTGGGACTTGAACCCAGGTACCCTCTGCAGGTGTGTCAGCCACTAGCCTAAACATATTTTGGATATTTGAAATGTCCAAACAAATGCAGAGCTTTAATAGGACAATCATTCCAGTATCTGCTGCCCACATTCTCTTCCTTTGTAATCCCTCCCTTGACACATGTCATCCTCACTTTGAAAGGTCCTTGTTCTGCTTGACACAATTAGAGTTCTTGTGTTAGCCAGATTTCTAAAGTCCCGTACCGTAGCACACCTGTGTCGAGGAAGGTGGATACTGCCCTACTTGTGGTTTCCCTGTGTTCATTCTGTTGTGTCATTCTGTTTTCTACTTGGGTACTTTAAAAATTTGGAGGGAAATATTTATTATAAAAAAAACCCCATGGATTTCAAATTTTTGTACCCACATGAACGTTTTAAATATTTTTTATGACCTTTTTGCAATACCTGCGAGTCTGCTTTCATCCTTGACTCAGTGTCACAGAAGTAAACACACACACACACACACACACACACACACACACACACACACAAAACAGATTGTGTGTTAATTCCCTTGCCCCCTCCTCTCTCCTTATCTGGCTGATCAGAGCCTCCCTTGGTCATGAATAGTCCAGTTCCATTGGTTCTGCTTGGCAGGGCTCAGGCCATCTCCACACCTCATTCCTTTCCCTGAGTAACTTCATCACATCATGAGCACAGGTGACTCATTTTGCAAATAGCCTCTTGATTCTCTTGCAACCAAGTGTGATTTCTGCCTGTGCATCTGCTCTTTGGAGGTGTGAGGCACATACTGTTGTACTTTGCCTTTCCGGTTTGGAGTGAGGTGTGCATGAGCAAGTAGAGTCCCTACCTCAGGCTGAGGTATAAGTGATGTGTTTCGAGTGCAGCAACAGTTTTCTCATCACTGCTTTTTAATGAGAAAAAAAGCAAATGGTGAGTTTATCTTGGTGTAACATTTTTTTTTAAAATTAATACATAGGCATTCTTTTTTTTTTTCCTTGAACTTCTTGAAGATTCCTGGTATAGGTGATTGCTGAACCAGCAGTATTCAGGGAGGCCCAGTGATGGATATGGGAAAGGTGTAGCTTTGGGAAAGTGACAAGAGTTTTTGAGGTTCTGGATGATTGGAGAATAAAAATAATTTTGAAGAAAAATCTAACCCATCATAAACAAGTATAACACAACTGAATCATTCTAAAAATGAAATCTAAAAATTGGAAGTAAAAACTGTATTTCTCTAAGTAGAAGTTAAATTCTCTGAATATCAGATTAAAAGATGTGGGATCCCTGAGTACTGTTTCCTGTCCCAGCTGCTCTACTTCTAATCTAGCTCCTTGCCAATTTCCTAGTAGGGTATTGCATTATGAACCAAGTACTTGATCCCCTACCACCCACGTAGGACACGTGGATGGAGTTCCAAATTCCTGGCTTTGACCTGGCCCAGATCCAGCTGTTGGGGTCATTTGGGAAGTGAGCCAGTGGGAGGAAGATCTTCTCTCTGTGACACTACCTTTCAGATAAATTTTAGAGAAGGCATAGTAGCCCCAACAAGTTGCTATAGAAATTTCTGGGTCATTTTCCTTCCATTTTTGGCTTTTACTTCTTAATAACCCAGAGCCAAATACTTCCTAGGCTGCTGACCCCTTTGGAGTACCATTGACCTTGGCCTTCTGGGTCTTGGTGTTTCTGTCCTCACACACTGGGTGGTCCAGCGTGACTTCTCTGGTGCTGGATTTTATTGCTGGAGTATGGAAGTGCTTTCTGGCTTACATGTCACTCTTGTCATGAAGACATGTGGAACTAGGAGTTAGGTGCTTGATTCTAAGTCTCTTGCCTAAGTGACTTCCTCTTATGGAAGGTCCAGAACCTAGGGGATTCTCTCCTATAACCTCCAGCTCCTCCTTCCCACATGAATTACTCATCTGCCTGAGGAGAAAGGCATACATCCTTCCCTGGTGACCTTTTGCTGGTAAGTATGTGTGTGCGCTCCTATGGTCATTTTGAGTGTGATGTTGAGTGGAATGTCATGGTTTCTTGTTCACAGACAGCATGGGACATTTAGATGATCAGCCCTGACAGTGGTGACTGTCATACCCTACTCACATTTCATGGCCTGGAATGCAGTTGGCTGGCTGTCCCTGGCCAGGAAGCACTGTGCCTGGACTTTGAGGGGCTGGCATTCCTCTCATCTGCCCTCTGTCCTTCCTCTGGTTGACTAGAACCTTACTGTAGGCTTCTTTCATACAATCTTGTTTACTTCTTAAACCTGAGAGCAGTCATAGCCAGCCATTGGCCAGGCATGCGGCTTCCTAGGTGCTACAGAAGGGAACAATGGAAGGAAGAGAAAACTGCCTGGTCCCTGGGAGTGCACAGCCAGTGATAACATAGGTCTGTGGTCAGCTGCTCATGGTCACCCATGTAGACTGTGGCAGTGAACTGGCTTTGTACCCTAGCCTACATTTTCAAAAAATTTTTTCTTTGAAATCAAGGTACTTATGAGTTGAGACTAATGCTTGATCTTTCAAAAATAAACGGAACATAGGTGGGTGGAAAAGCATCACTGTGTGGGAGCAAGGGCAGGCTGTAAGTGGCCGGTGTTGAAACGTGGTTGAGGTAATAATGTAAGTTGATCAAAATAGCTTTATCCAGGCTCTGCCCATCTTCCTGCAGTTGTGAATTAAAAGCAAAGCAAAAGCTTCTATACTCACTGCACTCCAAGACCAGAGCCAATCTGGGAGAAGTGAGGAGTGAGCAAGGGACAGGGTATGTGCAGGGGTGGGGAAAATTTTGTGGCAGGGAATCTTCTAGAGCCAGTGTTGAGTGGGGTGTCAGGTGGGATCAGTCAGCAGACAGCCTCCACCTTAAAGTGCTGAGTCACGAAATAGTCTT